TAAAAAATGTGTATTGCATAATAAAAAATAATTAAAAGAAAAAAAGTTAGAATCTACTGAAGGTTCATTTGTTTTGAATAAATTGGGAATTACATTCACATTACCAAATTTATATGTGAATTCTACAAAATGTTAATTTAACTACTCTTGTCATACTCAGAATAAAGAAGGAATTATAAACTGTGAATCTGTTCTAGGGCAGCATTTCTGAACTATTTCAAGGATGGACCTCTATTCAGAAAACACACACATACAAACACTGCATGTATCAAGATTCATAAAACCTTACCCAAATCCTCTAGGGATTCATGTACCCTCAGTTAAGAATCCCTTCAAGGTTAATCCCTTAATTTACTTAAAATAAATTTTACATGTAAATATTTAACTAGAGTTAAGGATAAATCAGAGTTAAAATTAAGGCAAATTGCCTTATTTCCTACAGCTATTTAGCATGTATTCTCCCATTTATTTAGTGATATTTTTAAGGCTATAGAATAGTTGAAAGAATAATATAATGAACATCTATATACTCTTCACCTATATTCACCAATTACTAATGTTTTGTCACATTCATTTTATCTTTCTTTCCATTTCCATACCTATACCTATATGTACATACACATATATGTATTTACAGGGGACATGGGCTGGACCATTTGTATGTAAGTTGTAGATATTATAACATGTCACTTCTGTATGAATCTCCTAAGAACAAGAACATTTTCTTACATAATGATGAGACAATGATTCCATTCTCTCACATAATGAAACTCAAGAAATTTAACATTTATTTAGTATCACCTAAATGCAGTCCATATTCAGAGTTCCCCAACAATGTCTTAATTTTCTTTGCATGTGTGTATATGGTTCAAGGTCTAATCAGAGTTCACATCCTGACCCTTTCATCTCTAATCTAGAGCAGCAATTCTCTGCCTATGTGAGTTTCACAACAAACTGGCTTTTGAGGCATTATTTTAAAATATGTGACACCCACACAGTATTTTAAATTAAACTGTATAAGTACTTCATTTTTGATAAAGTAAACTTAATTCATTTTAAATGAAAATTTGTGGCATTAATTCATTTTAAGGGCAAAATCTCTCTTAATTCATTTTAAGGGCAAAATCTCTCTCAAAATCCGAGTCACAGAAGTGAGCCCTTGAAAGTAAAGAGGTAGAAGAGGGTGGGGAGCTGAGGACCAGGGCCAGGGGCCCCTGTGAAGGACACTGCCACCATGAGCTTGGCCAACTGCTGGAATTGCGCAGGAAGTAAGAGCGAACTTTGTCAGATTGAGTTTTTAAGATATTCTGTAAATTTGGACTTTGAAATTAAAATTCCTTATTTCTAAAAATACCATATGCTCCCCAGAAAAAATATTTGCAGGCTGAATATGGCCCCCAAGCCATGACCTTCTGTATACAGTCATTCCATGATAAACCAGAGCTAGTGCACCATGAGGGGTGCCTAAACACTGGAAACAGCCCGTGCAGTCGTAACCAGCCGCTCCTTGCAGAAGCTTTGTGAGCACATACTGTACACAGTGTGTTATGCTTGAAGAACATGCATTATTTACACCCTAGGATTCAATGGCCTAGAACATTCTTAACTAGGTATTTCTCACATCCCTCGGGGCTCCCCAACATCTGACACCCCCCACACCCCATCTTGCTTTTCTCACTGAATGAATGGTAGACGAACAGGTTCCTTGTAGCTATTACTACATGAGAGCGTTATGTAATCCATCCCAATGGACTCAGAAGGTGAGGGCAGAGAAGTAAGGACACATCAGACTGAACCACACCTGAGCTTGGGAAGGCGTCACATGTGGCCACAGTCACCCCTAACTCTCACCCATTGGATCTCAATTTGAACAAGAGGATTTATAAGGTCCTTTCCAGTTCTCATTTGTTTGGACCTTGACCACTCCAACTCTACAGTAAGAGAAGGTCAGGAAAGAGTCTGAGAAATTAAATGTGAGCTTGGCTTAAGCAATTTATGATTACACGGATGGAAAATATGCAGGCCATGCAAGAAATTTGTGTTGAAGTTCCTCTTATGGCAATCTATGTCTCTGCTCATAAAATGTTAGTACAAAGAATATTACTTTTTCAGTTTTGTCATTTATTTTCTTGTTTACCATATAATAATGCGTAAGTTATTCATGATTCCTAAAGGCATTGTTAGATACAGCAAAACTAACTCTCCAATATTTAGACCAAAGCCTGATGAGGCAAAAACCAAACAATAAAAATAACAAAGAGGGCCAGCCAAGTGGCACGGTGGTTAAGAGCTGGCTTGGGACGCCAGAGGGCCCCGGTTTGGATCCCACATATGAGGGCCAGTGACACTGCCCTCTACAGCTAAAATGCTGAACAACAGCTCAACCTGAAGCTGAGCTGCTGTGAGTCCCTGGCAACCGCGTAGGCTGCAGCCACTGCTGCAGTGGGTTGCCATGGGCTACCGTGTGTAGCTGGCAGCCAGCGTGAGCGGCCAGCAGCCGCTGTGAGCGGCCGTCCAGAAGCCGGCGACTGATCTGCCTCGCCCGGGAAGAGCGCAATGATGGTACTAACTTGGGCCAGTGAAGCAACGTCCTCCACAACTAGACTGAAGAACAACAGGACAGCAACTTGTCTGTTCCCCTTCCCCCAATTCCCCAGCGCTGTTCCCACCCCCCAATTCCCCAATTAAAAAAGAAAAATAACAAAGAAACATGTAGAAAAGAATTAGGTTCCCCTCCACAGAAATCCTACAGGAACCCAAACCTGAAGATTTCCCCCACATTCCTTTAGGGAAGAGGCGGTACACTGCTGTGTCTGCAATGACAACCCGCGAAGGTGTGGGAAAAAACTTCAGTTTCTTTCTAATTGGTGTGTCCATGCAGGCTGGGCCACCTCTGGGGTTGTGAGGTGAGGCTTCACACCCTGCAGTCCAAGACTGTGGGGGTGTCTGGGCCCTGGGCTGGACCCCTAGCCACAACGCCTGCAGAATAGGCGGAATGGGCCAAATACACCACCCCAAGCCAGCATTGTATGCCAGGGCCTATTTCCTTCCCCAAGCCTTTTAATGGAAGATCAAAGCAAGATGCTAGAGGAAGACAAGCTCAGGGCTCACAAGGGGAGAGAGGAGGAAGAGGCTGTAACACACCTTTAGAACAACCACCATACAGGGAGTGCCTCCTAGCTCTCCAGGCAGAGGCAGAACCCCACTGGAAGGGCTGTGCAGGCCACATGACAGTGGAGAGTGACGTGGACAGTGTGAGCAGACAGATGCAAAGGTGGGGGTGGGAAGCGCGTCCCCCGGGGGAGGAGGGGCTGCCACCAGCCCCAGCCAAGAGGCACCACGTAAAACCAGAAGCCACACACTGGCAAAACTTTACTTCTCAAGAGAAGTTGAAACCTCATCATTTTAAAATGCAACCATTCCACCTAACAAAATTCACACACGAGCCTCAGATGATAAAGAATGTTCGAATGTTCATGGCACTCCAAACAGGAATTAACACCACTGACTATATATAAATAAAATACATAATTTGTGGCATAATCATACAATAGAATACCATACACTAATGAAAATGAACAAACAACTGCTAACCACAATGATCTAGACCGAACTCAAAAACAAGCTGAACGAAGAAAGCCAGACACAGAAGACAATGTACCATATGACTGATCCACTTACATAAAGCTCAGGAAATAAGCGATGGTATCTGAAGTCAGGCGGTGGACCCTCTGAGGAGAGTGAGTCCCTGAGAGGCTCTAGGAGTCCAAGGCTTCCTTGACCAGGGTTCAGTTTGTGAAAATTAATCAAGCTGTACCATTATAATGTACTTATATTTTTGTAATATGTACTTCCATTAAAAGTTAAAAAACAAAACAACAAAATAAAACACTGTGTAGGAAAAACAGGATTTTGCCCAAGGGTTTCCCATATACAGCTGCTGCTCTGATGGATCTCAGGTAAATCAAATCCAGTTTGACTTTCAAGATGTCCCAATCCATCAAGGTCATAGATCCAGGTTCTGAACTCAACATAGCCAAGTAAATGGGAACATGAGCATTCTCACCAACAGGAGGCCTGCCACTCCTCAGGCGCTGAACCTGGACAGGCCTGATGCTCCTCAGGGACCAGTGCATGAAATTGGCCAACTACAAGTCCAAGGGAGGGTAGGGGATTTAGGGAGGGCCTCGCTGCCCTGCAGATCTGAGGCACAGGATTCTCTCTATGGCTGTAGCTGCCATTTCTCTAGGAGACAGGAAAGGCTAGTCAGGTTGTTTATGGCAGCAGAGAACAGACTCTGCTAACTGACTGGAAATGCACTTTGCAAACAGGCTGGCCCCAAAGTCTGCACATCAGGAAGACCCTGGGGCACCACCTAGCATTGGTGAGGCTTTCTCAGCACACAAGGAAAATGTCCTCTCTCAAAGGATGACATCTTAGCTGACCTGGGAATACCCTTGTATGCTAACAATGCCTTTCTTCTCAGAGAATGGTGTCTATCTGCTCCCGAGTCCTCCCTAAAAACTGTGTGGTCACAGCTGATGTTCTCTTGAAAAGGAAGTCCCAGCAAGTGTCACCTGGATCCGTGTGTCTGTCTGTATCATGGCACACAGGCTGAGGCTGGGCATTACCCAGGGCCTGGTCTGCAGTGTCCCTGACATACCTGTGGCAGGGCTAAAAGCTATTTTAAAGAAAATCTTGAGAAGTATGCTTGATGCAAAAGCTTCAGTTATCTGAAGAAAACAACAGCATGGCTCCTTTCTCCGATACATCTCAGATACTCAATAATGCTGGTTCTCTTTACTAAGATTGATAAATATTTTTGTTGGTCTATATAGGGTGAGTGATTTTTCTAAATTCGTAATTTATAAGTATTCATTCATTTAAGAATTTCACAAAGTAGTTTTTCAAATCAGGTATTTCTTGAATGACTGACGGCATTTTCAATGGCCAGTTGCCATGCATTATTAAACACTTTTTTCTTCAGAATCTCCAGCAGACGTCTAGAGTTTAGCTAGAAGTCTTGGCTACAATACAAACAATGATGGAAAACACATGAGCAGTTACAAGTTTTAATCTCGCTTCTCAGTACTAACATGGGCTAATCTGTGGAAACAGCTTATTCCAGTGTCACCCAGGGTGCAGCCACACCAGGCTCTGCTGAAAGGTGCTTTTCTCTGTAAATGTAATACCTCACCTTTTCTTCTTAAGTAGTATCTGAGAACATTTACATTACAGATAAGTGGTACATGGTGGAAAATTCTTCCTTCAAGAGGACTTACTCTCTTCTTACAAGGTATGTTTTCATGTCTTTTTTTTTCATGTACCAGTGCACAATTATTTTATAGTTGATACTAAGGGGACATTAATATTATTCACATAAATGCTTGTAAATTATATGATGAAATGTAAAGATTACCTATGTAATTTCTTAAAAATCAGCATTTAATTACATATCAATCCAAAATTATTCTAGCTTTTTATGTTTTATATATAATGAATTTATTTTCATTGTTTTTACAGTTAAGTGAAAATCTGTCATTTCTATAAATCTAAACATGATTGATTTTAAAAATCATTGAAACAAATATCTGTATGTTCTTTTAGGGAAACATTACCTTAATAATTAATGATAAGGAAGTTTGAGACTATCACAAATACATTAAATGAAACAGTAAATATTCCTTTCAAAATGTAAAACTATGCTATTTTCTAATATATTTTTAAATATATGAATTATTCAAATGTCATTTTTATATATTTACATATTCATATTTCCCCTCGACAAATGTCTTCCTTATTCTTATATATAAAATGGTGCTGTACAGTTAAAATGGAAATGTATAATAATTCCAAGAAAGAGTATTTATCATCAATAGCTTAATTAGCTCTATATTCAATATGAAAAATTCAGAACTTCTTTTCACAAAACCCATAAAGTCTGAATTTAAAACAAAGATTGCCTTTGTCCCATCCCAAAATAATTTTTTTATTAAATCTTATATTTTAAAAATGAAACAATGTATTTGATATTCCACTCCCTCAAAATCTAAATAGAATATATCCTTCTTTCTTGTTAATTTATTCAGAGGTGTGGCAGCCACAGATAATGGCCACATGGTGTGGGATTAAATTACAAAGAAACCTGAGGGGTCTGTCTCTCCCTAAATCCCACCAAGAATCAATGAGTTGTTTTAAAAAAGAGGAATAAAAATAAGTCATATGCCCACACACATGTGAAAGCATCCTGATGTTTTGTTTTCAATATTTAAAACAGTGCAGTAGTGGGAAGATAAGAGAATGTGCGGTCTTCTGTTACAACTAAATACTTCATTAAAAAAAAAATTCAATACCTAACCGGAGGTTTGAGACCAAAAGATTAATTTTATAAGCACAAGTCTTAAGGCACTACAGGGAACAGCAGAAAAATGAAAGGCAGGAGTGTCTTGCTTTTGAAGACAGCAGCTAGGTTGCCAGACACACTGAAAAACTGATGGACAAAACTGTTGTTAAACGAAAGCTGCTAGCTAGTACCTACTCAGGTGCTCTTTACACTTCTAAGGTCAAGTTACTATTTCTTTAAGGACGGTATAGTTTACAAAGGTGTCTGTTTCCATGCCCAACAGGTACTGTGACTAAGTTTCCAAATGCACGTGGGGACATTGGACTTACTTGTTCACTTCCAGGGCTGTGCCTGATGACACCTGAATGTAGTCTGATTTCTCCTGTGAACACAGACTATGTTCTATAACATTTGTATACTGAAAACTACCACTGGCACTTGTGAACTGAGAGAAATATTTTAGCCAAGGGGAAAAGTTTCCAAGCAGACCTTTAAGCGTGGGATTTAAAAGCACAGTGACTTATTTTCCTAATAATAGTGTCTGAGAGGAAATACCATTTTACTTACACAAATTTTCCATTCCAAGTTTGTGGAACATTTAAGTGGAAAATAGGAGCTTATGCAAATTGCGAAAGACACTTCTTAGCTACATTTCCCGTTCTGAGAATCTGGGCAAGCCTCACCCCATCCTCTCCGAGGAAAGTCTGGTTGGTCCCTGGAAGTCACTGTGGGATTCTGACCCCCTTGGAAGAGCCGTGCAGAAGGGTGGACAATGCAGGGCTGAAAGCTGCCTCAGCCTTTTCAGATGTACAAGGGGCAATGGTTTATTAATAATAGCATTAGAACCAAAATAATATTCCAAATAGTATTCTGATTAAGAGAAACTTGAAACCAAACTCCAAGGCTTTCCATGAGTAAGCTCTGGCAAAAGTGGTCTAAATTGGGAAAATACTGAGTCTTCCGGAGAACAAACAAGACTTAAATATTTTTAAAGGTTTTAAAAACAACACAATCTACTGTCAAAAGTAATCAAGAGCTTGGGCCATATTAACAAACTCAAAATTTAAAATAAGACAACTAAAATTCACATCATTTTAAAAGATAAATAATATTCTCTATATTCTTCCTGAATAATCGGGGGAAAACACTGCTATATAGTATTCCCTCCTGGACATTCCAATATTTTTCTACTGGTAAAATTGCTGAAGTAGAATAAGGCCAGGTTTGGGGTCTACGATCACTTTTACTTTGTCAGGGCTTTGTCATCTCAGATCAAGGATGTAAAATAAATAATGAGTTCCTCATGGAATTGAGGTTTGCCTGATTTCTCTTTGCAAGTAACCAAGATATGAGAATGCAAAAACATAAGATTTTCTATGGCTAACAGAGGACAGAACTAGTAAGACAAATGAGCCAGAAGGCATTTTGGGCTTCAATATAAAGAATTTCCTATCAGCCACAGATAAACAGTAGAACCAGGTGCCTCCTGAGGAGGCGTGCTCCCTGATTCCGTTCACTGGAGTCATGCACGCAGAGTGGACATGTTATCTGGTCCAGAATCTTCTGGAGGAGCCTCGAACACCGGCAGGGAATTTAATTAGATGACATGTCCTGCTTCCACGGGTCTCCTTTCACGCATCAAAGGGAGGGCCCAGGAAGGCATGCCAGGTGGCTGCTGCCACCACCAGCAATGGAAAGCTTCCTGACTACCACAGATGAGCCACTGCTTCAGTTAGCAGGCTACAGTGTCCCCTCATCTACGACAGGGAGGGTCTCCCATAACCAGTCAGTGTAAGGAGAGGGTGGAAGGGGCCGAGGAAGGAAGAGACACTGGCTGAGGCAGCCCCTGACCCCATGAGTGGGCAGGTCAGGAGAGAAATGCCCCCTGGCCCTCAAGCTTGGCCCCTCTCCTCTCCTTCATCTGTGCCCTGGCTTGTATCTTCCCAGCTATGCTCCTCATCCTGGCCTGCACCCCACTCCCAGGATCTCTCAGATCACAGGGCCACACTACTGCCGCAAGGAGTGGAAGGAGGGGGTGGCAGGAGTGGAGGTGGCCCCTGGCTGCCAGGCTCAGGGAGGGTCCATATGCCCTGCTTCCCAGTTTGGCTCTCTAACACATTCCTCTTGTTATACACATTTTTAAAAGTTCTACGGTTTTCTTGGGTCTATACTTCAGGTATATTAAATATTAAATAGATTTTTCTGGTCTAGATTGGGAAGCTAGAGCCCTTATACCTCTAAGTTTCTATAAGAAAATACTGAAACTCAAACAACCAGCCAACTCGAACACCACTTTTAATTACACTCTTCATCTCCATTGGACTAGAGCAGATGGGGCTATGCCCCAAGAAGGTGTGGCCCAGACAACTTTCCAGGTGGGCGCTGCTACCGCGCTTTTGGGGGCCAGGATATAGGAGGACTTTACTTGTACTGTCTAATGCTACAGAGATCATAGAAAAAGGCCAAAGTACAGGGAGAACCAGAGCTAAAACAATTTTGTTGGCAGGCTGATATTTAAAATATTAGGAAAGCAACATAATAATGTTAACAATATGTACCAGAGAGGGAAATAATCCTTCATTCATAATCCCACGATCTCTCTTTATTAGGTTTGTGTGTTCTATTTCAACCTTTTTCTCTCATGTGTATTTTATGGACGTCTTCATTTCTATTGGTTTTGAAGAATAAACTGAGGGTTACAAAGAGTGGACAGAGCTATGGTAAAGAACTTTCCTTTCAGAGCCTGGGGACCGCACATCTGGTGGTCCCTCCGAGCTGTCCAAGCCAGCGTGTGCACAGCCAGCAGGGACTACCTGCAGTTTAGGTCTGTTTACTAACCTGGACATGATTGGTTAGTTTTTCCATTAATGCACCTGACTGTTTACTTTTACAACAAGCCCACACTTACCTGATTGGAGTGGATTAGGAGCTATGGTTTTGGTTTCTGAGCAAAGAGAGGATAGGGATGGGCGTCCCATCGAGAGCGCCCGGACGTGCCTATGCCACAGAGTCCACATCCTAACACAGTGCCTGGTACAGAGTGGGAACCTGACAGATGCCCACTGAAAAACTCCAGCAACGTCAAAAAAAGCCAGAGACAGGATCTCAGGTGACATTTAATTCAACAGCTCCTCTGCCAAGGTTAGGGGCAGCTATGGACCCAAAAGACAGCTGTATTGCAGAACAATGTTAAATAAACTGGTACCAGGGATAAGCTTTGGTTTAGCTAAGGACCAAGAACTGAATTAGCTAGGGAATGAGGGTTTTGTATGTCAAGGCAAAGCTGAGAACCAAGCATGAAGGAGCCAGGAACCATGAAGAAGCCTAAGGTCAAGAAACATGATGGATCAAAGTGAGGCAGGCAGCCAAGTAGCAGAAATAATGTGCCAGAGACAAAGTGATATTGGAAAAGAAGCCCAGTCGACCTCAACCAGCCACCCATGCCAGGATTCCATGGTGTCGGGAATACAGAATGCTAAGCTGCTTGTCCCCCAGGACAGCTGACAGAAGCTGTTGGGCTTTGAGCTGCCAGCAGTCTCTCTCCGCACCATACAAATCTGACCACACAACCACTCCTGCTCCCACTCTCCCAACCCAAGCTGTGTAGGCACTCCTTTCTGTACAGAAAATAATGTGTGGACTGGCTGGAGAGGAAGAGATCACAGAGTGTGCTTGTAAGGCCACTAGACTTGGAGATAAAAGTAGAGTGTTCCCACATGGGCTGCATCAGAAGATGCAGAGAACAGGTTGGGACACATACTCATAGGCTCTAACTCAGCTTCTAATTCTCTTTGGTCACATGGCCTGGGAGAAGCCACTAGAGATCTTCGCACAAACCATTACTCCTGGCTAAAGTAAGGGATGCACCTAGAATAAACTCTGAATTGACACTTCCATAAGGCAGTGCAGAGTTCTGAGATGGGATTTCAGAATAAGGCTGTTAAAATTTAAAAAGCTTTGGCTGTTCTCAGATATATCCTATAATCTCCTCTTTCCTAGCACAACTGAGTGTGGGTTATCACAGGAAAACCTCACATATTGGGCTGGTGACGTCGAGCCACCCAGTGGGCAAAATGCTCATGTTGCCATTTAGATTTCTAAGAATTAAATAATGTTAATTGTCAGGTTAATAACTGATGACAGTAGGGTTTTTTTTGTGTTTTTTTTTAACTTCCTCTGGTGCTTAAAAGACATACCACATATAAATGAATATTTTAATTAAGTTAATTCACTTCTGATTCCTAAGTCCAGAAAAAGAGATGTTAAAGCTCATTTCTGGGTTCTGGAAAATTGTAAACAGCTGGCATAATTCAAGCATTTGGGGGTCCACATCTTCCTAAGGCGGAACCAACTCCCCCTGGTTCTGGAGGTCCTGACAGATAACGTGCTGTCTGGTGCTCAGGCACGGCAGGCCAGCAGCACTGCTGGGCGACCTGGCGGAGGGACATCTGGGTGAGTGTGGACGTCCTCCTGCCAGGACACAGCTTCACCGACGGGCATCTGTGTAGCCAAATGCATGCCCCAAAGGAAAGCTTGGCATGAGTCTGTTTTGGATGATTTCATAATGCTTTTGATTTTTGAAAATTATGAAGAATGTATGTTTCACAGATCATGGTTAAGAAACCATGATACGTAAACACACTTGTGGGAATATCCACCATCAGATAACAACAAATCTATGCTTGAGCGTTCTTGCTTGTACATTCCAGTAATTGTGTGGGCTTTAAAAAATAAAACTGAAAACAAATTGCCTCAAAAAGCCAAACAGAATGTAGTGAAAAGATGAATAAGAAAGAACAGTCTGGACCTCAGAGGCTTTGGATCAGGTGTTAGACAATGGTACCGATTAGAAGGAAGAAGTCCAAATGACACTGAAAAAAAATTACCAACTCTGAGAGTGCGGCTGGGGAAGGTGGTTGGAGAGAGAGGGATCCGTTAAAGAAAACTTCCAGATGTTATGCTATGGGGACATGAGGGTTTTACTTAGCAAGTGACATAGATATTAAGGCAATAGGAGGGTTTGGGGAACAGGAATGGCAATCTGCTTTTGCTCTTAAAAACATTTACTAGTTTCCTAACTATAAAAGTTGCACTTACTGCTCATTATAAAAAATTTTTTTAAAAGAGACACAAGAAGTGTCATGGTTCTTCTACCCATAGATTATCATCAATTAGGTATGATTATGACAGGGTTTTTGTGTGTTTCTTATGTAGGAATTTTTAATTTTTTTTTTCAAAAAAAATTTCATATTTCAAACATCTCTGCAAATATTTTGTGGATACAAAGTATTTCATGAATTTACACCATTTTACTTTAATATTTCACTTTAACCATAGTATTATCTTTAATTCTTTGCTATTATATATAATTTTGTGGTGAACATCTTTATACACACTAAAATTACTTCCTGAGATTAGATTCCAAAACTATAATTACTGGATAAAAAAAACAAACTTTTTTAAAAAGCTTCCAATGCATACTCAATTGTTTTCCACAACTTCTTATAAATTTATTTGCACACTGGTAATGAATAAGAATGCCATTTCGCTGTACTCTTGCCAACTCCGAGAGATGTACAGACGCATGAACTGTATCTGTTTAAATCTTAATTTGTTCTTCAGTGTCTGCTCAGTCTCAGGTTGGTCCCCTACACCAGACAACATGAAGGAGTGTGTGTTCCTAGTGCTCTTGGCTTTATGCTCCGCCAAACCCTTGTTTCGCCCTTCATACATGATGCTGAAGAATATGATGCTGAAGGACATGGAAGATGAAGGTGATGGTGACGTTGACCCTGATAACTCTCTTTTTCCAACAAGAGAGTCAATTAACCCCTTCTTCCCATTTGATCTGTTTCCAACGTGTCCGTTTGGATGCCAGTGCTACTCGAGAGTTGTACACTGTTCTGATCTAGGTAAGAACATTTGTCAACTTGTTTGGGAGAATAATGTCATTCTGGCAAAATTAAAAGAATAGGAAAAGTCCTCACTGAAAGTTCAAAACTCAGCTGATTGATTGTAAATGGATTTTTCATTTAAATTTTTGGAAAGTATAACAAACCTCAAAGTACATCCCAATTTATTTTAAATATCAAAGGAAAACAATGGGAATTTAATATATAGAACATTTCCTTTGCTTCCCAAACTGCAACCAAAGTGCTTGGTTTTAATTTCCTTCAGAGAGAATGAATGTTACTGTGGTTTCTTTACCTTAGGGTGTCAGCAGGTTGAGACTGTGCTTTCTAGTAAAATTCTATAATCACAACATAAATTGACTGTGCAGGACAATAAATAAGTTATAGAGTTGTGAAATCTCTAATCTAGACATTTTAAGACAATGCTGTATTTGTTTTGAGTTTTGTCTAGAAATGAAGTGGCTGAACTAAATTACTTTCTAAAGTCTCTGCTGAGTATTTTATTTTTAATACTTCTAATGAAGGCATTCTCAAATAGAAGGACATTCATACCCTGCTCGGGGAGAGGGTGTGATGGAAATTCACAAGAGTTACAGTACCCAGCTATTTCCAAAAGGGGTGACTCCAAACTGCCTCAAGGTGGGGAGCTGAGGTCTGGCCCCCACCTCCCATCAGGGCCACCTGCAGAGTGCATCGGAGCAGATGGCACCTCTGGAAGCTTTACACTTGCTTCCTACTGCTATAGCATTTGTGGCAATAGTCAAAGCTTGTTACAATCCACTCTACAGACTTTAATAAACTGTGCTGTTAAGGGACAAAGTGAGACAGATGAACAAATGATTTTTTTTTTCAGAATAAAAAGTTACTATGAACTAGAATCACAAAGTCTTAATGGAATATATAGGCTAGGAAAAAATTGAGTTTTAAGCTTTACCTTTGGCATTCTTGTGAAAAAGAGCTAAGATGAAGCAATATTTGAGAAAAGCTAGTCTGGAAACACATGCAAAGTGAGTGTGGGAAGAGCAGCAGGAAGGAGAAAGGCAGGGGCTGAGACAGAGCCTGGTGTGAGAAAGCATTATTAGAGCTGGGGAATAGCAGAATGTGCTGTCATTTCTAAGCCACAGACCTAGGCAGGAAACAACTCTACCATCAGTTTCCAGAGTTGGCGCCTGTGAAGGCACTTTGTAAAACAAAACTCATGATAAAAATGTATCAGCTTTGACACAGCTGGACGTAAACTGAGCTGTTCAGGGTAAGATTGTGACTAAGGAAATGTCCACCTTTAGCACAGACCAACGGCATGTGATGGCCTTCATACCTGTTCCAGAGGAAACACTACATAGCTCTGCTCCAGTACCTGACTGTCATCAAAGAGGAGAAAAACCAACTATCTCATAACAGACAGCTGGTTGCAAATAGTGTTTCCTGAATATTTAGCTTTAAAAAAATTTACTGAACAATATTCACTTAAGGCTATCTGTACCAGACTGACACATACTTTTAAAATGACACTCACACTTAGCAGCATATGCTACATCTGCCCCATGACCACTGACAATGGAAAGGGTTGGGACACCTGTGGCTCCTTCTCCCTCAGGAAATGAATCTCAGAGCTCCCAGATTTCATCAGGGTAGGGTGGGGAAGATCTGTCAAAGTCTACGAGGTGTGATCAAAAAATACAATGAATGTTTAAATTTTTGAAAAAAAATTATTCCCCCTCGCTTTTGTGGCTGGAAAAGGGGCCACAGGTTAAACCTGACAAGCTTAGGAGACTAAAACTAAGATGGCATGAACACACAAACACACACAAATTTTTAACTAAGTGGGCCTTGGTGGGAAGTCACATCTTCAGCTTCCTCATTAAGTTAATCTGTGTTTTTCCATGGGCCTCTTGTCTTTCTGTACCTAAGAGAACATCTTTAATACTTTTCCGAACCAGAGCTGAAAACTGCAAAATTCCTCATTATTATGCTTGTCTCCTGATTAGCATCTCTATGTGCTGTAAAACGCTAACTGTTAGCTATCCTGCACCCACCTGTGTAAAAGAAGTCCCTGTCTCTCCAATTTACTTCTATCCAATCCCAGAGATTTCCCCGCTTTGCTTTCTCCCACCCCCTTAATCTGTCACCAATGGATTTCATGTAACTTCCACCTTTGATTTTATGTATAAAATAAACTGTAAAACTGCCATTCTTTGGAGCATTTTCTCAATCCGTTGATATTTTGCTTCCCGGCAATTGTCGACAGTTTGGCTCAAATAAACTCTTATAAATTTTCTCTTAGGCTGGATGTTTTTCATCAACACTTTGAAAACACTTATCCCATCGTTCTTGCCACTTTCTGAAGCAGTTTTGGAAGTCCTCTTTCATGAGTGTCTTTAGTCACAGTATCATGGCTGCTTCGATGTCCTAAATCGATCCAAAACGTTTAACTTTCATAATCCTTTTGACTGGGGAAGAGCCAGAGCTGCACGGTGCCAGATCCAGTAAATAAGGTGGATGAGGACACACAGTAATGTTTTTATTTGACAGAAATTGCCATATACCAGAGGCCATGTGTGACACGGAGCCTTTCCGTTATGATCACAAAATACAGTGAATGCTGCTGCTGAGCACCATCCAACAGAAAGGCAGGGATCTTCAACAGGGGAAGTGGCGCACTGAGCCTTAGTAACAGTGTGTGACAAGTTTCAACTTGTTCAGTGCAGTCAGTCAGGTGTGAGCTACAGTTGAGAGAAGGTGTGTTTTAAAGTGTGCCCTAAATCATCCTCCATCATGACAACGCTCCGTGCCACACATCACTTCTGGTATACGGCAATTTCTGTCCAAAAAAACATAACATTACAGTGTGTTCTCATCCACCTCATTCACCGGATCTGGCACAGTGTGACTTCTGGCTCTTCCCCAAAGTCAAAATGATTCAGGACATCAAGGCAGCCATGACAAAGCAACTAAAGACACTCATGAAAGAGGACTTCCAGAACTGCTTCAGAAAGTGGCGAGAATGATGGGATAAGTGTGTTCGAAGCGAGGGGGAGTATTTCGAGGGGAATTAATGGCAATGTGTCTTTTACTGTAATAAATTTATTTTTTTAATTTAAACATTCCCCGTATTGTTTCATCACACCTTGTATGTTACCAGGCCCTTTCTGCAGGGCTCCCAGCTTCCTACAAGACCTTCCATGTCACTTTCTAAACAAAGCTGCTACCTTGCTAGCATATCAAGTTACTCCCCACTTTTCCTCTTCCTATGTATGGTCAAACTTCTTAAAAGAGTTGTCAGTTTTAAAGTATGGCAGGAAGGCTGTGGAGTTAAATATTGCTATTCATAATATTTAGATACTGAATTCTTCAACTGGGGCTATCAAATATAATACTACCTTCAGGAGTAAGGATGGCTCCACCAAAAGTGCGCCAATATCTGAAACTCACTTTAAAATGCATTTTAAAAAAAGGTGAACTGATGGATGGACAGTAAATAAAATATAGTATTATACTTATTATAATATACAGTAAGTATAATAAAGTTGATAGCAGAAAAAGAATATGGGTTTCCACTGTCAAATTCTTGCAGCTTTTCTGTAAGTTAGAACATTTCAACAATAAAATATTGGGGAAAACAAGGTCCAGTGCTCATCAAGCATAACTGCTATAAGAAATACTGACAAGAAGCAGTAAGGGCATGTCCAGCCATCTAGGGAAAGCAAGAAAAGGAAGGAAGAAATGCACCATCTAGTCCTGGTAATTTTCTGCTCTTTTTTCTTTTTAACTCAAGAGGGAAAAAATATATTTAAATCTTTTTAATAATTTGGTTAACATTTATTGAGTACCCACATAAAGAAGAAGATGCAGTTGTACCTTAACCCGAGATGACAGAAAAGGAAGCTGTTCTTGCACCTGTAAAGAGGAATGGGGACTAATAGGAGGCCCAGGTAACTTCATACTAGAGCATATGGGTGGGGGATGATGAATTCAGGAAGGTATACCACACACCCAGAAGTGAACAATAAATTATGGATGAGCACGGTTTTGAAAATCAAATAATTTATGACTAATTAGAGAGGCTCATCATTAAAGAAAATGGACAGTACATTTTTTATAATGTATATGAAAATAACCTAATTCATATTTTCTAAGCACAACTTCCTACAGATTGAGGCTTCTTAAACTGATCAAAACTCACAGGCTCCAATTTAGCACTATGGCAGCCTGAAAATTTGCAAAGAGCTTTAATACTCCTGGGCCAAAAGTGCATCAAAGAAGCCATGCCTCAGCTGTCGGTCACTTCCTTGCAGTCATATTGTCATGCTGCAATTGACCTCCATTCCATGTCACCTTGCAGCAGACAAGCAATGACAGCTAGACCCAGCTAGACACCTTGTAAAAACAAACAAGTTACTTGTTTAGCTAGACCCAGCTAGACACCTTGTAAAAACAAATGTTACTTGAAAAGGTCTTTAGGCTCCCAAACAACAATGTTTTTGTCATCCGTTACATGGTAAGTCATCTGTTACTTAATGGTAACCATGGGTTTTAACAAATGCACATTTCTAACACATTAGCAATCTCATCTTCAGCATACAACTGTATATAACATGTTTGTTTATTTCTCAGGTCTGTCCTCCATCCCAAGCAACATTCCATTTGATACTCGAATGGTTGACCTTCAAAACAATAAAATTAAGGAAATCAAAGAAAATGATTTTAAAGGACTCACTTCACTTTATGTAAGAATCTATGCTCATATTTTCAAATATTTAAGTGAAAATATCACTGCTAAAATGATCACTCATATTGTGTTTATGTAAACAAGTCTTACTTGTGTGTGTGTGTGTGTGTGTGTGTGTGTCTGAATGACAAAATACCTCTTACTCAACAGTGTTCTAGTTATGAAAAATTATACATCAAGTCACTTAATAATTTAATGCAACTGATGTTTACTGAAAAACAGCCAGGTGAAAAGTGGTGGGCTAAGAATTAAGTAAACGGTCCTTAAATGAGCTTATGATCTACTTAGGTAACCACAGTCACTACACACTAAAATATTGACTAAGACTATGATTATTTACTTATTAATGAGTTCCTACTCATTAGCATACAGTTTAAGAAAATATGTCCCCAAACCCACTAAATTATTTTAAGGCACCACAAATGTATCTAATTGACTAACATACACTTGTATGGCTTTTTCTCTAGATCTTTAAAGGTGAAAAGGAATTTTTCCTTACTATATAAATATTTTAATTTTCTAAAATTTAAAAGATTCTTATTTCTCCTTTTAATATTTTGAGCTGCTAAATTTTAGCAAGTAAAATTTCTAATTTCATTTGGAATTAAGTTTGAGGGATGGCCTGATTCCAGCCTGTCATGGGCACAGGGTGTCATCTCTTGCCCTCAGCATGATAGGGTGGGACAGCCTCTCTTCTGCATTAGGCTATGGTGGGAAGTCAGTGCGGCCCTTCAGGCCTGCTCCCACATTCTCATGCTGTGCTGCAGAGAACAAGTGTAAAAGCTGTCATGTCAGTGGAGCTACAGCCCCAAGAGAAGGGAGATACACCATGGCCACACGTCTCTTGCTGCCATGCATGTAGCCTGTTATTATCTTGCTTCTGAGACGTGAGGCCACCCTGCCTGCCCATTACCTTCAGGTCAGCAGGCAGGGAAAGGGGACCAATGAGGCCCAATATGCAAACCAGCGCCTATCAGTCAGCTGGATGAGCAAGGACAAGCAGAATGATTGATCATGTTCTGGGACCACGAGGGATGCTCCTTACCCGGCTCTCCTGCTCACTCCTCATGTCAAGCATGCCTGGAAGGAGCCAAGTCAGCCTCCCTACAAAGCCAATCTCTGTCTGGGCAGCCGGACGCATGGGGCCTTGACTGCTTCCTTCCCTTTTGAATGTGCAGTGCAAACAGCTGGGATTTGGCTGGGCTCCATCCTGCTATAGTTCCATCTCTATATTACATACCTGTGTATCTATATACACATAGAGATGCAGCAGCGGGAAACACATGTATTTACCTTCTAACAGAGGCCTCACTTAAATATTAAGATAGTCAGAAATAATGGTGGATTCCATCAAGGATCCATCCAGGCCACGTACTCACTTCAGACCACAGAAACTTTTGGAGAACGGCTCAATGCGACCTTGTCAAACACTGAGGTGTGGCCGGCTCCCAACAAACGGCAAGGCCATTCTTCTATCCTCACAAGTAGGAAATACAGCTTATGAGTGCTTCTACCACTTCTTCAACTTATATTCAACTACTGGGTTGTCGAAACAGTCATGATGTATTTTGTCTGTTTTTCAAAGGTCATTTATATAAAGAACAAAGATTAATCAATGATATATTGCCTGTTTTCTTCGATAACCTTTTGCCATCTTTCAGTGAACTTCATAATTCCTCGTTCATAGAAGGACTTGTCTTTATTTGCGAAAAATGGAACAAAGTGCTGATTTACAGCCTCATCTGAATTGAACATTACACCATGCAAGGAGTTTTGAAAAGAGCGAAACAAGTGAAAGTCTGACGGCGCAGGCGAGTATGGTGGGTGTGGCAACACATCCCATCCAAGCTCCAATAATTTTTGACGGGTGATCAAACTTGTGTGTGGTCTCACGTTGTTGCGAACACAACTCCTTTACAATTAACAAGCTCTGGACATTTCTGGATGATGGATTCGTTCAAACTGTCCCACTGTTGACAGTACACATTCAAATTGATTGTTTGGTTCCTTGGTAGGAGCTCAAAAAACACAACACCTTTAAAATCCCACCACGCTGACAGCATAACCTTCCTCTGATGAATGTCTACTTTCAATGTCGTTTGAGGCGAATCATCATGTCGGGACCAAGACCGATTGCGCACTACATTGTTGTAAACAATCCACTTCTTATCACATTATCAGTCGCTTCAAAAAAGGATCGTTTTCCTCATGTTTAATGAGCATATTGCAGATGTTTATATGCGCCATCAAATGAACTTCTTTGAGTTCATGCGGTACCCAAATATGGAGCTTGTGTACGTGTCCCAGCTTCTTCAGGTGGTTATGAAGTCTTGAATGATGGATGTTCAATGTTTCTGCAATTTCTCGTGTCGTGTAACATGGGTTTGACTCGATCAATACCTTTATTTTGTCGTCATCAACCTTGGTGGGCCTCCCTGACCAAGGAGTGTCATTGAGATAAAAAACACCAGCATGGAATTTTGTGAACCATAGTTGGCACTGATGTTCTTGTAGAGCATCGTCACCGTAAACTTTATGCAATTTTTCACAAGCTCAATGCGCGTTCTTCCTTTTATGGAAGTAAAACAGTAAAATATGGAAAAAATGCACAGCTTGGTCTTCCGTCTTCAACTTGTTGTAAAATCTCCAAAACTCAACCAAATCGCTCAATTTTTTTTTTTAGAATGAACCTAGAACTGTCAACTGTCAAATGACATAGCAATAACATAGATGTGAATGACTCTAGTACTTGCAAAAATGAACTAGTGCATGCGTCATGACTTTTCCGACAACCCAATATAACCACAAGAATAACTAATGCTATATTTAATATTGAAATCATAAAAAGGTTTTAATTTGTCTTATCATTATTTATTACATTTTAGGAGTATTCCAGGGACTTGGTCCACATGTACTCCTGTTAATCACTGGGAAAGTACAATCTAAAAGGTGTCAGAAGTTGTCTAGTTTCTTTTAGTTAATCTCCTTACGTTTCTTTTAGTTAATCTCTACAAGGCATATGTTGGAGGGTGAGTGTCCTACAGTGAGGAGAACCTGAGCTCAAATTTTGGCTCTCCCAGATGTGTGTGCTGGGGAAGTGGCTTACTTCTCTAAGCTGACCTCCCTCAGCTGTAAAAGGGGAATAAAAGTAACATGGGTTTCAGAATGATCATTTAGACTAAATGAGTAAATCCATACAACTGGTAACTACTATTGCCACCAGCCTAGTGTTTCCAGACTGGCCAGGGTACTAATGCAAAGCACTTTTTAAAGCACATACTTTATACTTGAATTGTGTGCATACTGTAAATTTCAAAAACATTTATTTAATTATAGGTACCTGTCTTTAAAGGGAATCAAAATGTTTTTTAGATATTCTATAAATTCTCTATATTGTGTTTTAGCTGCTTCACTGTAGTTCTTATACAAAGGACACTCCAGCATTAGGGAACAAGTGAGATTAACACACATACACATACACACACACACACACACACACACACACACACACACACACACTCCCAGCTCATTTCCAGTCCATGATTACAGCCACATTCATCATGAAGAATTTTTGTCCTACTTCTGAAAGGCTATACTTTCCTCATCCTCTGTCTACATAAAACCACATTGTTTAGGGCTCCGTCACTACCACTTTTGGAATTTTTATGTAAAAACCAACACTAAAAGTACAGTTTAACTGCAGACACTCTGCTCACCTAACTTGCTGGGGCGGTAGTTGATGGCCCTGTGTAAAAACTGTTTTACCCCGTTTTGCATTATTTATACTTCCTTTCATGCAGCTCTGACAGCTGCGTGTTTTAAGGGGGCAGGGGACCATGCATGATGGTGACTTCACTAAGCACATGTTCCTGTGGGGGCTCCTTACACGGCAGCTCACAGGAAGTACATACAACTGGAAGAGCAAAGTGTGGAAGACAGTGGGGCCCACCCTGACAGGAGGCAAGTCACTTTTCTTTACTGTAAACCTTTCCTCAACAATATAAAGAAAAGAAATAATTTCTGCTAAATTTACCTCATGGGGTTAAGTTTACTGGGTTGTTACCCCAGCCTCCAGCCCCATATTTCAGTATAACCAAAGGAAAAGAGAACAAACTCTTAAGTGGCATTATACATTCGGAAAGGAGTACATTTTACCAGTTGTTAACAGCTGGTATCAAAATGTACTTTCATCTATTCTCCTAGGCTTAACTTTTCTCAGGTCAAAATTTTAACAGTAGTGATATGTCTGAAAAGAGGGTAAGAACAGGGAGAAGCACAGTACCTACAGTGAAACGACTAAACACAATAAAGGGAGCTGAACTGTCAAAGCATTGGTATTTCTTCTGTGCAACAACAATGTAAATAACACCAGAGAGGCTATGAACACAGTCTGGAAACAATGGGAAGATTGTTGGAGAATGGGGCTGGGGACAAAATTCATAAAAGGAATGAATCTAGAGCTGCTCCCTGAAAGAACGAGAGGACCAGATTAGAAGAGAGGGTTAGAAAGTCCTAAGGATTGTGGAGCCATCTGCCATCACCCCTGGGAAACATCGAAAATACTTTCTGCAAAATCTGGCAGTAAAACAAGGGCTAAGCCATGTCCAATTTGCAGTGAAAATAATTACTAGGGTGACAAGATCCAGTTGTCAAGTACCTGCCCAGTTTGGGTTCTGAAGTTCCCACATCCCAGCGGACAGAGACAGCAGCCATCAGAACCCTCAACATGGCACAAGGGGCTTGGCATGGAGAATGCAGAAGCTATTACAACCTCTCTTACGGTGGAGTGGTTGTTTCCTCTAAAAGGTGCTGCCACGTCACACTGAGAAATATCCACAGAACCGAGAAAGGGTGCAGGTATTCCTCAGGACTCACCACTGTCTGAAATATGGCTCAGGGCACATTGTAGGGAAAATGGTAAACATTAGGAGACATGAAAGAAGTGAAGGTTTAAAAGCAGATAAAATCATGCAAAGTATATTTTTTTGTGCACGAAAGTTAATTTTGCAGAGTAAAAAGATTTTAAGATAGGATGAAGATGATACCATCAATCACTCTCATCAAGGGAAAGGGAAACAGGAGGGAAGCTCAACTTTGTGAACACATCACCTACTCAAAGATAAACCAAAGGCACAAAAGCAACCATTAAAGCTTTGCACACTGCTCCAACTCAGTAGTAAATATTTTTTTTCAGTTTAGATTGGGGTGAGAAATTATTTACATAGCTAATCAAGTATACAAACTGGCATAATTTGCACTGATTCCCATGAGTGACTAATTACTGTAGAATACTTGTAAATCAAATCTGCTTCCTAATATGGTGTAACTTTTTATGCTCTGTCTAGGCTTTGGTCCTGAACAACAACAAGCTAACAAAGATTCACCCAAAAGCCTTTCTAACCACAAAGAAGTTGAGAAGGCTGTATTTGTCCCACAATCAACTAAATGAAATACCACTTAATCTTCCCAAATCATTAGCAGAACTCAGAATTCATGATAACAAAGTTAAGAAAATACAAAAGGAGACATTCAAAGGAATGAATGCTTTACATGTTCTGGGTAAGTTTTTGCAAATGAACGGGACATTAAGAAATTGTGAGTATATGCAGAGGTAGAGATTTTTATCATCATTATTAACAATTTTTAAGGCTGATAATTTCCCAAATTAATTTCCTAAAGCTAAGAACCTTTACCTAACTAAGCCATTTATAAATCAATTAAATATTAAACAAAATTTATACCACTGAAAGATGCCTTTTGTACAATACACACACACACACACACACACACACACACACACGCACTCTCCAGGATCCCCTCTGAAACACCTAGTGTGGTTTCTGTTTATTGACTGTACCCTAATTGGTAAAATCTATTATTCTTATTTAATTTAAAGGTAGTATTTTAAAGATATTGTACAAACTACTCAAATATAGTATACAAAATTAATTCAGATATTGTTTGGAATGTACATCTCACTTTTCTTTCTTTTTTTTTTTGGAGGGCAGTATAACTAGCCCTCATATGTGGGATCCGAACTGGGGCCCTCTGGCGTCCCAAGCCAGCTCTTAACCATCGCGCCACTCGGCTTACATCTCACTTTTCATTATCTGCTTAAGATTACTGAGCTAAGGAACTTTTTGTTGTATATTTTAAATTCTACCCTATTTTACTTCTAACACCTATGGAATAACCATCCCATCTTTACCTACAATATCCACTCAACATTCCTAACTAATATTCTCATTCATTAATTCACATTTAATTCAACCAAGTGCCTGGCACTTACCAAATAGCCTCACTTACTGGCATTTCTTCAGTTATATTTGTTAACCAAGTAACAATTGCTAATTGACTTATAATTTTTAAAGTTTAGGTGAGAAATAAATGCACACTGGCAAATGTAAACATTTTGAATTATATGAAGGATGACCTTTTTTTCTAATGTAAAATTACTACAATGAATCCTTGGTCATGCTTATGGTTGGAAGAGAGTGATAAGTTATTGATTTAGTAATTCAAAGCAAAAAAGTGAAACCGTTATATATTCCAGCCTCAGTAACATAAAGCAGTCTTTTCCTGAGACTGACAGAAAGGGGGTAAATAGGCATAGAAACAAATATACTGAGTGAAAGAGTCTGAGCAATGCTCCTACTTCTCAGAATTTTCTTGGGATGTGTACCTCTGCATAGTGAGCTTCCTTCTTATACAAGACATGTATACTAAATTATGTAATTCCCCCCACAGAAATGAGTGCAAACCCTCTCGACAATAATGGGATTGAGCCAGGGGCATTTGAAGGGGTGACGGTGTTCCATATCAGGATTGCAAAAGCAAAACTGACCTCAATTCCTAAAGGTTTGTATTTCCTTTAAGATAAAGTATTTTTTTTAATTGTCATCCTTAAATGACCATTAAATGTAATGTTGCAAACTGTATAATTGTCAAAACCACACTATATAATCAGAATCCTTTAACCAGCATATCCTGTCGGTGTAGTATAAAAGTTAGTGTTTTTTCATGCACACATAAAGAGCCATATGTAGTGTTTGTGGGGTTTTTTGTTTGCTTTTTGTTTTGTCAGTAATGAAACCAAAATCTTTTTTTCTCCAATGAGAACAAACATTAAGAGGAAATAGAATTTTTCTTTTCCTTCTGGTTCCTGACATTTACTCACCTAGACTTGTCATTCTGTGAAGTACCCTTTAAAGTGAGAACTCTGTAACGAGAGCAGAGGAGGGTGTCCAGGCCAGAAACCCTGGACCCCGCTGTCAGCACCGGTTAGATGGGGAGGGCCTCTGAGGTCAGACTGGGACAAGGGGCTCTGGTGCGCATGCACGTGTATTGGGAAAGGGGCTTCATACTGTGTCTTCATGTGGGGATTGTGCAGACTAATGAGTCTGTGCTCAGAAAGGTCTGAGGACAATGCTGAGGACATGACATGGTCAACGCCCCCTCAGAATGTAACTGACACCAGAATGAGTACCACACTCTTTATCATGAGGTGACCTGAAGCGGGCACCTCAAAGCAAAATGGTTCTAAAGTCTTCTACTAGGCTAGTTTCAGGCGCATCACTTCAGGCGCCCAGTCTGACGATGACCTGGGCAGCACTGGTTTTGTCAGGATCCATGCTCAGAGTTCACTTTCCACACCCCAGTGCCCTCTCTCTGCTGTGGTGACAACCTAGATCAGAAAGAATCCTTATGGTTAACAACGTATTTTTCTTTCACGTAACTGTCTTTCAGTATCCACAGTAAAAGCAGCAACTTGACCGTAACTTCCTCTCGATTACCCACCTGATCCAGAAGATAAAACTAATACAAACTGATAATGTAGAAGATACAGCAGAGCTGCTATTATTAATCAAGTGACGATATTTTGTTTAGGAGAAAAATCAGCTAAAGTAAAAGCGGAAAGATTTTGTTTTATATACAGGAAAAATCTGTTTAATTCAGAACTACACAATTTAAAAAAACAGTTTAATTTAGCTTTCAAGGAGGTGGCTGCTTTTCTACAAGAAACCTAAAATGTTATACATATTTACCTTCTCATCCTTAGAACAACAAAAATACAAAGTCTACCTAACAAGTTAAACACATACCATCCCCTGGTAGGCTGAAAGCTAACAGTGAGGGAGAGAGCACAGACGGAAGTGCTGAGAAGAGCTCACTGCCCAGTGGTGGTGCTCAGGCCTCCCGACGTTGCTACTTGCCCTAGATTCCCACCAGCAGTCTTTCCTACTGCAAAACATCCTGACTGCAATTCTCTTTAAGTTCCAACGTGTATCTCAAATGAAGGTTCAACTTCTTCTCAAGATTCGTCTCAAGTCTAACAGAACATGTTATATCCTTAAAATTTTACATTGGAATCAAATGTCTCAACTTACATAACTACTCCTTCAAGATCCCTATGACATTCAAAATCCATTTTTTTTGTTTTATAACTTATTTGCGAAAAATGTTACAACTGACGACGTAACTGCTATAATTTGATCATTACTACCCCTTGTGACAGGACGAATTAGGCCCAAAGGGTCCTACCAGACCTGATAAGTTAACATAAGGAAAGTAAAAAATGTTCTCCTTCCTATTCATTTGGAAAATTTTACTTCATAATATTTAGTATTGCATGAAGGGAAGACCTGTTTGAAGATGGGGTAGGAATAGAAATATTTGTACAAAAGTATGCTAATATTTGTTGGCAGCTAATGAGCCTCTACCCAAATTCATACCTTTGATCATTTATCCTCCCAAGGCTACACACTTTCTCTTTGGTGATCTGCCTTCTCCAGACCCTGGGGACAGAACAGTCCCCTCATGTTTTACAAACCCAAGTAGTTTCCCTGACTCCTCAATGGGAACACAGATTTCTCTCTTCTTTGACCTGCTGCAACATATTCTAGAACAGGCAGGCACACTCTATGAAATGTTTCTAGTGACTTTTGAATGTATGATGGATTTGCTCAACTAATACATAAGGTCTTTGAAAGCAGAACCTTTTCTTTTACATACTGAAGTGAGTATATGATCATTCCATAAACATAATTAAACTCGACTAATCAGAATTCAAGAAATTAGAGCCCTCTCAGTTTAGAATTATTTTCCTGCTCTCTAGTTAATTTACTTTTAAAATTCAAAGTAGATTCTGGAATCACCATAAATTCAACCATGAAAAATATTGATATTTATAAAGATACTTCGATTACCTTCATCAGTCTTTACCACTTATCTAGGAAGGAAATGGTTCAGTAAGATTTGAAAAAAGACACTTCTCCCAGCTAGCTAACTAGAACTTTTGGTTGGCAAATAATGCCTTATGTTTTTAATTCTGGGTATTACATAGAATGCCAGGTCCTATATAAGACTAATAAAATGAATCTGACTGCATTTTCTGGTCAGTCTCTATTAATCTGGGGAGGCCTGGATTCAGGACACACATGTGAAAGAAGAGAGGTGCAAACATTCACATGGTCCCTGTCATGTGCCAGGTGATGTTGGCAGATTAAGCAATCAAGAGATGCTTTTCTTAATTTATGCAGAAACTACTACTAAAAGAATGAATACTGCAATGGATCAGAGTAAAAATCCATGTATTCATAGTAATATTAAAAAAAATTTTAGTGTATCAGTTCATTTCGTGAAAGAATCAAGCATCTGTGCTGCCTTTTGTATAAAACTGTATTACATCGTAACTAAATAATTGATGAAGGAAAATTCTTTAGAGAAGAATTTCACCTAATAAATGCATAAGGAATGACAAAATCAGGAAAATCATGTTTCCATTCTTAATGAAGGAATAGACCTAGCTAGCAGTCATCAATGAATGCTAAGACCATCAGGTGAAAGGGTGATGTTCTGAGTCTAATTTGGTCTCCAGATCTATCTACAAGGTCATAAGAAATAAGGGGGGGAGACCATGATAAACTATCTTGTGGAAGCCATCAGCCCAGCCCACAAATATGAATCTCAAACAACTCTATATCTGAAACAAATCACTAGAAGAGGGAGGAAAAGGAGGGGGAATGTAGTAGAACACATTTTAAGAGACATAAGAACCAAATGTATTATGTAAACTTTATTAGGATCCTGACTTCAACAAATCAACTGTAAAACAATATATTTGAGATCGTTAGGAAAATTAATATTAGATGAGAGTATAGAATTGTTGTTAATTTTGTTAGATGTGATATTGACATGATGACTATGTAAATAAAAGATGACTTTATGAGTTAGAGACATCTAGTGAAGTCTTTATTGGTAAAATGACATTGTGTATAAAATTTAATCTTAAATACTTTAATATTTGTTTTAAATAAAAACAAATCAATAAGTAAATCAATGATCAATAACTAATGGGGTAGAAGAAACAAGACTGGAAAAATGGAAATGATTGTTGAAGCTGGGCAACAGCATGGTGGTTTATAATACTAGCTTCTATTTTTGTATTTTTGAAATTTTCTATAATAAGAAGTTAAAAAAGCAGATCCCTAAAAAATTGCCTATGTCTGTAATGTGAAGCTTAACAAGTAAATAATCAATGGGGTTTGATCTTACTTGATCTAACATACATGTTTCTTTCCTTATCATTAGAACTACCATCAACTTTGTTAGAGCTTCACTTAGATGATAATAAAATTTCAACTGTGGAACTGGAAGATTTTAAACGATACAAAGATCTGCAAAGGTAAAAGTTTCCAAAATCCTAACTTAGAATTGGTGGTCCACATGATGAAGACATTACTGAAACTTCTTGGAGAATGTGCATAGGGACCTAGATTATCGCTGTTGCTACTGGAGAGTGTGAAGGTAGAAACTGGGAAAAGCTGCTATTCCTCTGTCTAGGTAACAGAAGAGGGCACCGAGTGGAAGCAGAAGACGACACATTTCAAATGTCCCTTTTGCTGACTACAGGTTAAAGAATTTGCTGACAGTGAAGGAGAGGGCTGTTATATACTGAAATGGGTTATTAAATAAAACCATGGGATACCATCATATATATAGATATATACAAAGATCTATATATATATATATATGTGTGTGTGTGTATATATATATATATATATATATATATATATATATATATATATATATATATGACAGGTTTATACTTCTAACTTGGTTTTCAGCTAACTATCACACCATCTGCTTAAGAGCTGAATTTTATATCACTTTTAGGCTGGGCCTAGGAAACAACAGAATCACAGATATCGAAAATGGAAGTCTTGCTAACATACCACGCGTAAGAGAAATACACTTGGAAAACAATAAACTAAAAAAAATCCCTCCAGGATTACAGGAATTGAAATACCTCCAGGTAAAACATCCTACTTGTGTTTTATAGATACTAGCACTTTCCTTTGTTTTTATGAAACCCATTACTATAGTACCTGAAGCAAAGACCAAGCACATCGCAAGGGCAGTTCACACAGAATGACCCTCCAGGCTGCCTGAGGCATTTTATGCAGCGCCAGAGTGGTTAGGAGAATGGTTTCTACCAAAAGGTCAGCTAAAACACATCCTTCCTTTTCTCCTCCTGAAACTGCCAAGGCCATGGTGGCAGAGGCACTAGCTAATTTCCCAACTAATTTCAGGTTTCTAGGGTGGAAATGGCTATGTAAAGGCAGGATTGGTCAGGAGGAAACCCAGTAGAATCCCATATCCTTTTATTCTGGAAACATTTCTCAAAGGCAATCACATGGACAAGGTCCAAGGTATTACCAGTGTTATGCTAGATTGGAAGTGTGTACACTTTTTAAAAAATTCAGGCCAGAATATAAAATCAAAAGTCAGTATTTGGAGCATCGAGAGTACACATTTGTTGTTCTTTATTATTAGAAATCATTTCCTTCTAATCTGGCAACTCCTGACTTGCTGGGAGGAACACAGAATAATTGGAGAATCTGACAAAGCTTTAGATCTTCCAAAGAACAAAAATGAAGACAATATTTTGCACTGTATTGTAGGAGGTTCACAGATCTCCCTGATTCTCATCTGTGGACCTCAAATTAAGAATCCCTACTTAATCCCATTTTACCTTTGTCTTTCCTTGCTATACAACGTTCTCATGTTTCAAGAAGCACAGACACATTGAGAACAAAGCTGGGCTTCAAGCCACTTGCTTCTTCTAGATTTCTTTCCTAGTTTAAACCAGTTTTGTTAACTGCACTCCTTTGAGACAGAAGCCGTCAAAATGGCCATGCTATCTGCACGTGTTCATCTCCCGGTTACAACTTTTGCTTTGACTTTTTCAAATGTGACATCTAAAGGTCTATTGTTAAATGGACCGCACCCTGAATCCTTCCTCTCTCAAGCTGTCCCACCTGTGTATACTTTACTCCACAACTGCCCCAGCTTCTTGCTAGCATTTCCTTTTTTTTTTGATCGTCAAGCAACGCTCAGACAGGTGTAACCCCGGGAGGAACCCGGGGCTGCAAGTGCATTCAAAGTGTCGATGATAGCATTTCCTTTTAAATGAACAGAATTATAACACACAGAGACAAGAAGACAAGTCCTGAGAGTACAACTGAATGCACATCCACGAAGCAAACAGACACACATCTGGCTCTGTTTCTCATTCCCAGTGAGGTGTGCTGTGGTAAACTGTACTGACACTGAGCTGCCGGGAACTGCACAGGAACCTCAGAATCTGTCACAAAATGCCCACGACGGAGGGCAGAGGGGGCTCCAACACCAAATTCAAAGGTTTTAGTAATGCAGACAGCTCTCATGACTGGCTCAGATCAATTTCATGAAGACATGAAGGCAGAATCTAGTGGTAACAACAGCCAGAACCAATATCCTAGCTTTGTCAGCAAAAGGCTCCTACTTTTTTGTATGCCCAAATGCTGTCAGTTAAGTAGACTGTTTTCACTTCCCAGAAATCTGTTGCCAAAAAAGACCAAAGTAGGAATTTAAAGGGATGTTAAAAGGAATGAAGGGAAGTTTCTATATTATCCATTCTGAGTAATAATTTAATTTAAAAAGACATATACAGCTGATAAAATTGTATTTTGTCCATTGGTGCAAATAAAGATTCAAATATTGATGCTGTATTACAGACATGTATTTAAGATATCAAGATATATTTTTCTATAAAGCAACTTTCAAAAGAAGTAGCTCCACTCTTCTCTCTTTTGATCACGGAAAATGCTAGCTAACAATTCTTCACAGTCATATTGCAAGCCTAATTCTTGAAGCATTAATTTTCATCCTTCTGCTCCTTTCTAATCCTTTTAGAATACATTATCGTGCATGTGGCACTGCAGTAGCCACACACACACACCTATATCTGTGTTCAGAGGGGAGTGGTGTGTGTTGACCAGGCATGTGTGTTGGGCCTTGGCCTGAGTCCTACGCATACTTTGCACACAGAACACTTCTGTGTCTAACACTCGAGCCTGCGTTGTTATATTAAGAATTTAACAGGCACAAACGAGTACATATATTTTAAGTGAAATATATTCAAATCAGCGTAAAACTTATGAACAAATGCTAACTATAAACAGAATATCTTCTTTTTACATTTACTGTGTATTTTTAATCCTTTCTTTTCCCCACTATAACAGATAATCTTCCTTCATTCTAATTCAATTACGAAAGTGGGAGTAAATGACTTCTGCCCAACAGTGCCAAAGATGAAGAAATCTTTATACAGTGCAATAAGTTTATTCCACAACCCGATGAAGTACTGGGAAGTACAACCCGCAACATTTCGTTGTGTTTTGAGCAGAATGAGTGTTCAGCTTGGGAACTTCAGAAAGTAATAAGTAGTAATTAATAATATCCACTTAATATAAAATGCAAAAATTGTTCCATTTGGAATACTTGAACTCTGTTAATAATGGTGGTATTATGTACAGAGGCAAAAATCTATTCCCACACGGTAAGTCCAGTGACTGACTTTAGGACAAAAAATTTCAACAGAATTTTGCAAAACGATTGCTACAGCAGGATTAAGAGAAGGATCTACTGCAGTTTTCTTTTGTATACAAATGATTTTGCATAATACTTTTTCTCAGTAACAAAAAAAAAGACATTCAGTATATAACACTTTGCTATCAAGTGCATTTTAAAAAGAATTATACTGTAAATGGAATGCTTGACTTACAAAATCTGTGCTCTTCCATTTGCTGTTAGAAAAACAAAACTGACAAGGACAGTAAGATGAAGAGTAAATACTATTCTTATTCTTTCTTTAATAACTCGGGTAGAACTGTATATTTCTAATAATGTTGAAGTATGGTTTGATATAATCTTATTCACATTCTCATGTCTTAGAGCCTTACTGTCTGTATGTTTAAAACTAACCCTTTGTAATGAAGCTTCCGTAAGGGTTTATTACCAATTCGACAGATGCTATTCTTAAGAGTTGGGTTTTGAGCTAGAGGAGCACATGCTTTTCTTTTTAAATTACTACTATCCTGTTTACTATAAAACCTGTACAAAATGCATAGTGAGTGTTTACATAAAATCTGTAACACATTTTTTTATTATCACAGTTATTATAAGCTTTTAACAGTATGTCAATTGTTAGATTATGTAACATTGTCACCTAAACACTAAGGAATATTTTCAAGATGTCCTTTTATAAGAACTTGGTGGGAAGAGCCTGGACACTATAAATTCTACACCAAATTTTCTCCTCAAATATGCACAGACTGGATAACTCTGAAAAACACATCGTGTTTAACTAAATAGGCAGAGCATTAAATAAAACACAGAAACTAAAAAGCTCTGTATAAAAGTTAAGAGTACTTTGTGTATTTTTATTGGCATTTACCAGAAGTAAAACTAGAAAATAAGGAAAATATTAAAATTTTGGTTTGAAATAAAACATTTGTGCTTTGGTTTAATTTTTCTTCTCCCACCCAGGGACTATTTTTCAGAAAACTCTAACATACATATAGCATTTTTAGCAGAGTACTAATGCTTATTGTCTTTTTAAAAAAAGATTTTATTAGGGAATTGGAGGAGGGGAACAGTGTTAGGAAATTGGGGAAGAGGAACAGACAAGTTGCTGTCCTTTTGTTCTTCGGTCTAGTTGTGGAAGATGCCGCTTCACGGGCTGCCCGCTGCTCACGCTGGCTGCCGGCCACTCACATAGCTCACGGCAGCCCACTGCAGCCCCACTGCAGCCTACGCCATCGCCGGCCACTCATGGCAGCTCAGCTCCAGGTCGAGCTGTTGCTCACCATCTTAGCTGTAGAGGATGCAGCATCACTGGCCGACGTGGGAACCGAACCAGCAGCCCTGCTGCTCAGAGCTCACGTTCCCAAGCCAACTCTTAACCAACTGAGCCCCTCGGCCAGCCCCCTGCTTATTCTTTTTTTTTTAGCTGAGCCATCCTGCCACCTGTTGGCAGCTCAACGGCTGCTCAGCTCGGGCCGGGACTCGAACCACTGTTGCTCAGAGCTCAAACTCTTGAGGGAGCTCTTAACCAACTGAGCCACTCGGCCAGCCCACCCCTGCTTATTCTTAATAATAGTGCTAAGATCCTCCGAATTATGCCTGTGCTGTGAAAGAAAATCAGCTTCATGTTAAACCACCTCAACAATTAGATTTTAAATAATTTGGGGGGAGTAGAAAACATTGCAGATATGTAAGAAAGGGTGGGATGTCTGGATATCCGGGTCAAGAATGGGTAAACAGGTCTTGCTCCTCCTGACGAGGTTCCCTGACATTGGCACTGTTGACACTCTGGGGGGATCATTCCCTGTGTGCAGAGGGGGTCTGTCCTGTCCTTCGCAGAATATCTAGCAGCTCACTGGTTTCTACCCACTAGGATGCCAGTAGAACTTGTACTCCCACGTCACTGCAACAATCAACAATTTCTCCAGACATTGCCTAAGTGTGTGTGGAGTGGGGAAGCCCAATTGCAGCTGGTTGAGAACTGCTTTATAGGAAATGCCCTTAGTTTCTAAATTCTGACACAAGTTTGGAAACTTGAACAAACCAGTTATTTTTATTTGGTAAAATTATAGTAGGGATGTAGCAGAAAGAGTCCAGGGATGCAGAGCTCTGAGTTGGAAGAACATAACCAGAAATTCAGTTCCTTTTATATTTATACTCTTAGGCAAGTCACAATTTCTTTGAAACTGTCTCTTCATCTATAAAGGGTAGGGGTGACAATACTGATCAATTAGGTTGTTATGAAGATTGAATGATAAAAATGCATGTGAAATGCTTTGTAAACCATAAAGATTCATAAATTATGAGTAATTATTATACTGGATAATTACTGACAAGAAAAATCCTTAAAAGTAAAACACATTACAATGACAATCATTCTAAACTTTGACTATTCTAAGGTTCCAATAGCTTTAATCAATAAAATACATTTTTCTATAATATATCATAAAAGTAAAACTGTGATGATATCATGGCACTTATAAGAACATAAGTAAAGTCAAACGTTCACTGAAACTTTAGGAATCCAGTTCTTAAAATAATTAAATTCATAAGGCTAATGCTAAGGTCAGAATCATCTAGACAAACAGATTAGTCTGTGATCTGAGTACTGGAGCTTAAAGTAGCTATTTTCGTCTTTTTCTAAAAAGAAAAGACAGCAAAAATTTTTAAAACTGAACATGATTCCTGACATCCCTGCAACTAATTTCCTGTAGTTAATGTTTCTGTTTTTCATCTCACAGCTGTTGACCATTTTTGGTTATCAGTTTACAAAAAACAACCGCTAATAAAAATCGTAACAACCAAAGCTGCACTAAAGTTTTCTGCTACAAACCCTTTTATGGTAAATATAAAATATTACCCATTAAAGTTTGGAAACAAATGAATTACTACAACTTATTGGGTTTATTAAGGATTTCAAGGTAGAAATATATCTCAGTGACCATCTATCTATCCTTAGCTCCTCTGAAATAATACAATAAAAAATGATCACTGAATTCAAAAAACATAATACTTTTAGAAAATCACCTGAAGTCACGAAAACTAAAGCTTTTATTTAAAAAATCAATTTTGTTTCTCCTTAAAATATTGCATTATTTCTTTGTCCTTCAAAATTCCATCTTTTTTTTTTTTAAAGAATTATCTTACCTTGGTCTTAATTACCTCTCTACTCATATGATCCTTAACCTGTTGCAATTGATTTAACAATCCTCCTAAATCTATTTTCCCAAAATCATATTGTATGAATAACATTAAACAGTAGTAGCTGGCATTTAAAGAACAGTCTCAGGCACTCCTCCACATGCCTCACTTGCATTAATGCAATTTAATCCTCATAGTAACCCCATGAGGCAGGTAGGTGCCTTTATTTACACCTGGATTTTTCTGTGTGGAAACTGGAGAACAAAGACTAAATACCTTGTGGCAGATCTAGATCTAGGATTTGTTCCCGCAGTCTAGCTCCACGCTTGCAACTGCCATGGCACACTAATTTTTTAGACATTTAAAACAGTACATGGTGCTTCCTTCTGGAGACCCTTTACTTCCTTGGCTTCCATATACCCCAAATTTAGGGTTGCTCTTTAGTGGCTGGTGTCCCTAATATTATGCTTTTGGCCTCTTTTCTCTGCCAGGCCCTGGCAGTCTCATCCATTTCTAAGCATTCGGCCATAACCTCTAAGGTGAAGCCTCTGAAATCTGCCTCTCAGCCATGGCCTTCGCACAGGACTAACAAACTCTCAAAAGCAAACCCAAACATTTGGAGCCATAAAACTCTATCAGGGCTGGCCAAGTGGCTCAGTTGGTTAAGAGTTGGCTTAAGAGTGCGAGCTCTGAGCAACAGGGCCGCCGGTTCGATTCCCACATGGACCAGTGACACTGTGCCCAAGCTGAGCTGTCGCTGACCTGCCAACAGGTGGCAGGATGGCTCCGCTGGTGTAATAAGATTGCCTGTTCCATGGTGGGCTACACCCACCCACAACTAAGACTGAACTCAGCATCTTGAACTGAGCTGCCTGCCGCCCGGATGGCTCAGTGGATAGAGTCTGCGCTCTTAACAACAAAGCTGCTGGTTCAACTCCCGCATGGGATGGTGGCTACGCCCACCCACATCTAAGATTGAACACAGCACCTTGAGCTTAGAGGCCACAGATGGCGACTGGCGTCCTCCACAACAAAGACTGAAGAACAACAACTTGGCTGGTCCCCTTCCCCAATTCCCCAACACTGTTACCCTCCCCCAATTCCCCAATGCAATCTTTAAAAGAAAAAAAATAGTCATGGGATTATTTTTCATATTAGCAAAAAAATGGCAACAATTTAAATACCAACAATTTAAATGCCTTTTCATAGAAGAAAACAGATGAATGTTGGTATTTTCATACAGTAGTACGAACAGTATACAACAGTGAAATGAATGAGCCACAATATTGAGTGAAAAAAGCAAATTATACAAGAATACCTTATAGTAGTATCTCATCTATAGAAAACTCAACAGCATAAATGAAGTACTTATACGGTTGACAGGTCCATACACATGTAATACATATGGCATGCAAGGGAATATTCAACACATAACTCAAAACAATGTTTCCCGTTGGCACAAAGCAAGAGGAAAACAAGTGGAGGGGCTTCAAAGGCATCGATAATGTCCTGATTCTTAAGCTGGATGGTGAGTAAGCTGGACATGTTTGCTTCATTAATCTTGGTGTCTTATAGATACTCATGTTTTTCTTTCTATATATGAACTATATCATTAATGAGTCTACCACACATAAAAATAAGCTGAAGAACAGAAATAAAGAAATTACCTACTAGGGCTGGATGAGTGGCTCGTTGGTTAACAGTTGGCTTGGGAGCACGAACTCTGAGCAGCAGGGCCACCGGTTTCAGATCCCACATGGGCCAGTGATGCTGTGCCCTCTACAGCTAAGAGGGTGAATGACAGCTCAACCTGGAGCTGGGCTGCCGTGAGTTGGTGACGGCGTAGGCTGCAGTGCGCTGCTGTAAGCTACCGTGAGTGGCTGGCAGCCAATGTGAGTGACTGGCAGCCAGTGTGAGCTGCCAAGAGCCGTCATAAGCGGCCGTCCAATGGCCGGCGACTGATCTGTCTCACCCGGGAAGAGCACAATGATCACAATAGCAACATGGGCCAGTGAAGTGATGGCCTCCACAACTAGACTGAAGAACAAAAGGACAGCAACTTGTCTGTTACCCTTCCCCGATTCCCCAACGCTGTTC